TCCCTAATATTCTGTGATTCTGTGATTAACAGGACAGTGCAGCCTTTTAATTGGACTCTGTTGCATACATTGGGAAGTGCTATACTCATGAGATAATACAAGCAGAAAAGTATGGTCAGGTTATACTCTCATCTGTCTGGGGAGATCTTATACCAGAAAAGAGGGAAAATAATTCTGTTGCTGCTAAATACATTGCAGCCTCTCTTACTTTCTTAAAACTGGACCCATTCAGTAGGTTCTCTATGCATGGCACAGCATACTGATGACTCAGGTGATGAGAACCAGAGGAAAGAGGTGAGTATAAAGTCACCAGCAACTGTTACAGAAATTGTGCACCTCCTGCAAAAGCTTTCTACCTCACTCTTCATTCGCATCATTGTCACTTGGGCGTTTGCACGTTGAATCCTCCTCCTCATTCGTGAAGGCCCTTCATAACAATCAAGGATCCATCGTGGCTCTAAGGATCGTGATGCATCTCTCCATGGGCCCCTTCTGTAGAAAAGTTGTTTTTCAAGGATCATCCAGTCCTTGGCTGCTTTGCTGTAACCACACTGCAGCATCTGTGGGACAGAATCACTTTGTAACACCTTCTGCACGCTTCCCTCCTCCCATCCAGCAGTGCCACCACCCCAGTGACTCAGAAGGATCGACCCAACCTACCAGTTGGGAGCACTGCAGATCCAGCAAACAGAGGGCTGACTGACCACTGAAAGTGTGTTGTGGGAGACACTACTAGTCAAACTAAGATATAGTGACAAATATAAGCATGTCAGAAAATTCAACCTCCTTGAAAATGGCTGCTTTCATTTGACTTCCAACTCAAAAGCAGTGAGCCAGGAGAACAGCATCACAGATGTTTTATTCACTCCATTTTTTTCTGGTGAATGTTTGTGTCAAATGGCAACAACTATGCTCACTGAAAACAGTCTGAAAGTCTCAGTTGGAAGTGTACTGTGCTCCCTTCAAGCATAACAAAAATTTAATTATTTCTACTTAGGAGGTGTATCCAGGGAGTTGGGGGACACGAAAATATCAATTTAAAGCAGAGAAGAGGTGAAAATTTCAAAAGCTTGTTGGTCTCTGATGGCCAGTCCTGAAACAGAAACACATCTGTGAGATTTTACTGGCTATGAGCTTGAGACCTCTTGAAAAGTTTTACTGGCTGCTAAGAAAAAAAGGTCAAAGTCACCACTTTCATTTCTGCCACTGTGAGAGTGGAATAATTCATTTAAACAGAAGAAAAAAGGCTCCTGAAGATAACGTGAGGATCTGCAATCTGATTGGTGCGTGACACTATCACACTTCAGTGGTGTTGTCAGGAATGGAATATTGACTCATCAACTCTCAGCATTTCTTTGGGCATACTACTCATCTCACTTCTCAAGTGCCTGATTTCTCAGGACAGTCCAAGAGGATACTTTCAACAACAGAAAACTGTAGCACAATATTCCTGTTCTTTACCTGTATGTGGTTCTTGTACAAAGAGGCATACAGCTCCTGCCCAGTTCTTCGGTACTGTTCCATACATGACACAAATCCCTAGAAGAAACAACAGAACACATGACACCAAGGTGCTGCAGGTGTAAGCTCTGTGAGGAGCAGAAGGAAGCATTAGTTGCTCTATCTCTTACAAGAATAATTAGGGAATATGGCTTGTGTCTTCAAATTTGACAGCTCTCCAGACAGTATAGTGATGAGGCAATCATCTGAGAGCAAGTCGCACACTTACACCAGGAAGATAAACATATTCATGATCTTTACAAGGGTCATTAGTGGAATTACTCAGAAGGAGAAAGAAAACAGCAAATAACATTTAAAGCTCTTCCTTTTGGAGCTGAATTAGTACTGCAAGTAGCATAAAAGACAATTATCTGTTATAGAGACCCCAACTGAGGAAAGGATCCATAACTATACACCTGGTCCTTGCTGCATAAACGGAAAGTGCAAACAAAGGAATGGTCCACGTCCCCTTTTGGCAGAAGGAAAACCAACTGTTTCTAAAAACATTTTTGAGTTTTAGGAGCCTAAGTCCTTGGCAACAAGTGACTTGTAACAAAAATACACTATTTAATAAGACTGTGATGCAGAGATGTCTGAGTTAGCTCTAGAACTGGAAACTTGTAGAGCTGTACCAGTGCAAGACATGCATAGTAATTGCCTCTGCTCCACTACACACCACAGACATGCCCTAAACCCCAGTGCTACTCAGGTGTTTCTGGAAATACATGTTCTCCAAAGCAGTCTGACAGAACTTCCTGGCCACCTTTCCTGACAGAATGCACTAGACTCACAGAACAGTGAACCCGCATTAACAGTCATACATTTCATCTGCTGTTTTATTGGAATGAACTTCTCAAGCTAAGGGTCTCTGTGCAAGTACAAGACTGATGAACTGCTGCCAAGAGATTACAAGTTGTGTTCCCCATTCTGCAGATTGTTATGTGATCTTCAGCAAGACACACAATTGCCCTAAACCTCTACCTCTCCAACCACAAAACAGAGATTCTAATACTAACCTCAGAGTTATGCAGCCTAAGATCATGAACGATGGTTCAGTATGGTGGGATCCTTAAACCCAGGGGGTAGGGAAATGAAATGTGTTTCATTCTCTTTTACCTACTCCACCAAAACCCACAGGTTTTGGGTCACAAGTTTCACATAGCCAAAACCTCAAAAAGTGCTTCCTATCTGAGCCTCCCTTTTGAAAAGATCAGTAGAAACATTATTAAACTCAGTGGAATCCCTCAGGTGCCAAACTAGCATAATGCAAATAGCAACAAAAACCAACATAGGATATTCACTATCATACAAATTCCTCAAATTCACCCGTTAAACTCTAGTCAAATACAAGCTTCCAGCTTTGAAAATGCCAGGTTTGTTCCCCCCTTTCTCCTAGCCATCTATGAAATTCTGAGTCCCAAAGAGACTTGAAATATTTGTTGTAATGACTTTTTTTTTTTGCTTGATCAGAGAGACAAAGGCATACTGAAGGGCTGTCTACACAGCTGAAGTACTCAACAACTGCTGAGTAAGATACTGGCTTGTTTTATTTTATTGCATAAAGGCAACTGAAGAACCAGTTCAGGACTGTGCTTTAACAGGCTGTCCAACACTCATGGGACTGTTTTACAGTCTTGTAACTCAGACTTTTCTATGCAGCACAAGTATAGCTGCTCCATCTATTTATCTCCTTGCTCGGTATCTCTTCATGTGGCTGCTGACAAGTAGCTACTGGGGGGAGTTCAGTATCACAGCCTTCTTATTAACAGTCACAGGTAAAAATTCTCCTGTTTGACATTGCATTTCCCAGAAAAAGAGTCTAGCTATCCTATTACAACTACATGATGCCATGTCTGATCCACTGGGCATACTTGCTTTAACATTTTCCAAACCAAAAGCTCTCTGAAAGAGCAACTTTTTTTTTTTTTACTTTTTTTTTTCATTATGTCAATGCTACAGCACATTGGGACCTAACTCAGGGTGATGCTCCTAATCACTACTGAAAGAAATAGAATCCCAAAAGTCACAGTATCCAAATAAACCATAAATATCCTTTTCATGTGCCAGCAAAATGTGTAGGAAGGATGCAGGCTTACTTTAACATGATTTTGAAGCCAAAATAAGATTGCTTGCCCTTCCCAGGAACTTACAAAATGTATATTAAAGCCATGAAATGGGAAAAAAGGAAAAAAAAAAAGTATAAGTGGCTGACCATTATTAACTGCATTACAGAGAGTAGCAGAAGTATCTGTTCCTTTGATAAATTGCTGAGGATTAGTAGTAGCAGAGGAGGCAGAAACTGTTTGGAGATGATATAGGAGAGGTTAGAGTGCCCTCAGTGCCAGGCAAAGGCTCTCAAGCCCACCCGAGCTTCCCTGACAAAGGTGAGATTGCTGTCAGTCACAGCATGAGGCTAAACTGGCTGTGAAAGTCCCAGCCTCTCACTACCTGAAGCCATGGATCAGATGGGTAATTTTTAAATGCATGGACTCTGTGCCACGCTGTCAGTGATTCCTCACAGCAAACTGTCTAGCTGCTGCTTGCACTGTGCTATAATTAAGTTAACACACAAGGTCTATGTGGTGTGCCGACTACTGCTGGCTGCCAGCCAGGTCTGTACCCCTGCTGTGAAGTCACATTTATTGGTGCTTCCCTGCAGGAAGCTCCTGTTTTACACTGATTACATTTTTGTTTGTTTAAAGCATCATTAAACCTGTAATCACAGTTGCGGCCTCACAAAACTATTCCATAATTCATATAAAAATCCCATAAAGGCTGACCTAGAAAGCAACAGCATCTCTGTGCTGTTAAGCTGGGCTCAGTATAGGAGAAGAGCTGAGGTCCCAGCTCTATGTGGATGTAGGATAAAAGCCATACAGCATAGACAACCAATTCCTCCAAGTATTAACAGCCATTTCAGATACCCACAGGCTATTCAAACCACGTTAGTATTCTACCGGCAGCTGTTTCAAAGTTGCTCATAGTCTGTATTTCACTCGTAGTCACTGATCAGACCCCTAAGGCCAAAGCCCACATTGCAAAGATCCTCACTGACTTCACTAACTCAGCTCCTAGCCTTCGAAACATATGAAGGGTCCTAAGAAGGAAAAATTCTGCTAGCTACATCTGCTGAACTGAAGACTAAACACTTTGGCTTCCAAATGAGCTATAGCTAGCCATCTTCAACCAGATGAACATGTCCCTGATGACCATCCCCACATGAAAACTATCTGGTTGTAAAATGAAACAGTTAACAAAAATGTAAAATGAAATGTAAAATGAAACAGTTAACAAAATTGGAGATCACTGTGATTGAAAAAAAACAACAACCAAAACTCCATCACAAACCAAAAAACCTGAAAACAAACCTAAAACAAAACAACAAAAACAAAACCTGAAAAAGACATCCAATAAACATGGAGAATATAGACCAGGCTACTATTTATTAAGTGTTCGGTCAGAACAATTACACTGTAGTGCTTAATGAACAATTAGTGCAAACAAGTTTCTAATAAACAGTTTCCATTAAATACTGTAGGTGGTTATCTTTTCAAATGGTGAGTCTTTATGCAGCAGTTTAAATACAGAAGTGCCCCAGTGTAATATCTATCTTGAACAAATACGACATGCCAGCTTTGATAATTGGTAATACTGAGTAACATAATATAAGGTTTTAGTTTCACATGCAGAAATTCAGGTATAAATGCAAGAAATGTGACCTGCATTCTAGGGAAAAGCAGACTTAAAAGGCCATATTGATCCATTCTGGTCTGAAAATCCAAGTATACCATGCTTTAAGTCTTTTTATTACAGACTTCTCTACTTTGCAGCCTTAGACAATCACATTCTAAGTAGAATCAGGTCGTTTCGCTGCCTCTGATTCCCCAGCCAATATTTAAAGCTTGAAGAGGTGATGGAATTTACAAGCTATTTCCCTATTGGGAAAAAAACCAAACCAAAACAAAAAAAACCCCCACACATGCAAAAAAATCCCACAGAATCAAAATCTGTTTGTCTTGCTGCATGCAGATCTCATGCAAATAGAAGAGAAAATGATTAGCATTGGGGAAAGCTAAAACCAGCAAGGAGAAAAATGCTGGCAAAGAGAGAAATTAGCATGCCAAAAAACCCAGAGAGTAGATTTTCTATTGTTTCTTTCAATTAAAGCAATTGAAAGGTTGCTTGTAATAAGAAATGACTGAAAAGAAAAAAAAAAAAAAAAAAGGAAAAAAGGTTGAGGTGTGACTTCGAAGTTAACAATTCTGTACTGAGCTCTGGAATGGTTTATGTCTGATTTTTTTTTTATTTTTATAGAAATATATCACTTAACACTCCTGCACTCCATAAATATTCAGGCTTGCCATAATAAACTCTTATTGCATGATACAGACACCACATATGCCAGAGTTCTTTCCTAAAGAAACATTATGTCATTGGAGCTCTGCACTTTGAGGCTTTCTTTGGGGAATTAAGGGCTATGTATTGTATTGCAGAACACACATGCATACAGAAGTATGTGCCAAAACTCTTAATAAATAACAATAAACTTAAAGACGAAATAATTTTGGACTTGGAATAGCCAAAAGGAAAGCCCAAATATCCAGATCTCTCACAGTGCCAAGTGAACAGTCCCATGGATGATAGTGAGAATACCCACATACATGCTTTGAAACATGTGTTTTAGTCTTCTGTTAGTGAGAACTAAAACTAGTGATATTATTCTAATACTTCAGCTCTTCTGAGCAAAAGAAGTATTAGAAGTATTATATAAGCACACATAGTAACAGCATTCATGTAGGACTGCAGTTATAACAAAAATATGTACTCTTGTACAGTACTTTTCACCAGTACATCTCAAAGATCTTTATGAAAGAGGTCAAAGTCTTTAGCTTCCAATAATCATCTTAATGGAAAATTCCTGAACCACTACAACTTACACAGATACAGAGACACACCGTCAGCAGCTGTGTTCTGAGCCTAAACTCTTTTGAGGTGTGAAAACTATTTTCTTGTATTCACTTCAGTTCTCATGCTCCTCC